ATAAAACTCTACACCACAAAACCCCATAATATATTACGGATCTTCTCCAGCCCTACATACCTCCCAGACCTTTAAGATCAACTGAGTCAAACCTATTAGTCAGTCCGAGAGTCAGAACAAAATACGGGGAAGCAGCTTTTAGTTTTTATGCTCCAGCCCTCTGGAATAAGCTTCTGGCTCACTGCAAGTCTGCCCCAACTTTGAGTTTATTTAAAACAAGGTTAAAAACATTTCTATTTGAAGTTGCCTATTCTTGAATTTTTTTTATTTTGTTACTTGTCTGATTGGTATTGTTTCTCTGTAAAAGCACTTTGAATTGTCTTTGACTGAAAGGTGCTATATAAATAAAATTGCCTTGCCTTGCCTTGCCTATAGAAACCCACAAGAACTGCAGTTCCTGTTTGTTCTTTGAGTGGGTTGTGGTCTGTGACCAAATAGAAACTAAGTGCAGAGAAAACATTTTCGTGGAATAGAAAACCACATTAACTGCAGTTGTTTTTTGAGTATGTGGTGGAGTGAATTGGCTTAGAAAACCTTCGCTTAATCTTTTAGGGGGACTGAAAGTAAGTCGGTCTTACTTTGATACATTCTGCTATGAATCTTGGTTGTATCTAATATAATTGAATAATTGATTGCTTTATTCAAGAGACTCATGGTCCACATAGTTGTGAAAGAACAGAAAAAAAAGAACAGAGACATGATTATTTTTTTCTTAGCTATGCTTTTGTGGCCTCTTTCAGGCCATAAATACAAAAATCAGTTCCCAACTTGGCTTTGGAATCAAATTGATTATCTGTTGTGCTAATAAACTGATTGGACCACTTTTTGGCTAGCATATTTCAGGTGTTCTGCTGTAATGCCATCTGAACCTATTGCCTTATTCTCACACCAGTACGCTATAGCCTGCTGGACTTCATTCGGGGTTCTTATGACCGCATAACCCTGGCAATGTTTCCCATTCCCAGGGTTCACTTTTTACACAGTTAAATAATGTAAAATAGTGTTGTCTCCATATCTCTGCTATATTATGGGCCTCAGGTATGCTCCCTATGGCGCTGGGGAGCTGCAGCAGACCTGTTTAACGCTTTTACATCATTCCAAAAGCCAATAACATTATTACACAGCAGTGTTTCAGCCATGGAGTCTGCTCTCATGTTCTGTTCACATTTGAAAATGCATCAAATGGAATATTAATACTTTGCACTGGTGAGTTTCTTTTTAATTCAGGAGAGACCCATCTCTGAATCTACCTGCTTGTTCCCGCATCTTTTATGCCTGTTAGCTTCCGACACGTTTATTCCAGGCTGGCCTGATGTTATTAGCCTTTGGTAAGGTATGGTCTTGTACTCTCACACAAAGCTCCCACAATGCCATAATACATAGTATGAAGGTCTTTACATTGAGAAATATCACTGCAATTAACATCTGAGCACATAATAGATTGAAGAGGGATACTTATTTTACTTAAAAGAAGATCAATTTTCATGTGACATACTAACGAGTCATCTTTAGAGAGTCTGGACCTGTGGTGGCACTATTTACCCCCCATATAAACTCTGGAAGACTTTTAAATATCCAGCATCATTAAAAATGCAACATGATCTGACATAGAAAACTCATACAAGATTTCTATTGACTTTACAACAGCATGGGCATCAGCTGAGCTAATGCAGTGGTCAAGCCATGACATTGTATGCCAGGCTTCACTTATGTAGGTAGCAGGGGCTCACTGGACAATATGAAACTGTTATCATCACAAAACCAACGCATTGACAAACGAAGAATATCCATCAAATATATGTGGCCAAGTGTAGACAAATGAGCCAAACACATTCAACTATGAAACACATAAGTGGGTTTAATGTCCCGACTGCTCTCAGATGGAACAGCATTAATTTTGGTTTGATTTGGCACAAACAAAATAAATAAAATTGTGAAATGTGTTAATAAAACAATTAATTCAAACAGCTTTTAAAACAAACAAACAAACAAACAAAAAATACAATTCCCCTAAATTGTGAATTACAAATAAAACTTTGACACAAGAAAAGAGAACAGCAGTGTAAAAAATTACATAAAAGCACCATTACATAACCATTATATAAACATTCATAAAAGAAATAATAAACAACTTTGCAATAACCATTAATTTAAACATGTATACCATTTTAAAGTACCTCAGAGAAATCAACAAACTCAAACTCACTTCCAAACGGCCAACAGTCTGTTCAGAGTGAAGCAGACTTTCACCCTGAACGCGGGACAATTTATCTGCCCTCTGAACAAAACAAATACACAAAACAGGTAAAGCAAACCATATACTGAAACCACAACCTCAGAAATCGGTCTATATTTTTATATTAAACACACACGCCGTCACAGAGCCATGTAATCTCCCTCAACGGTTGCAACGGCCAGATCTCACTGCTCACGGACATAAATCAACCAAAAATAAAACCTCATCGCTACAAAAAAGAAAAGGAAAAAAAAAAGAAGGAAAATCACCAGTAAAGTTTACAGTACCGAGCTTATGCTTGTATATGAACTCTACAGTTTATTCCTAGGTCCGCTTGCCAAGTTATGAAGTTTTCACTGTTATCTTTACAGCTTCAGATCGGGACCACCGCCTGTCCCGCAGATATGACGGCACATAAGCGGCATAACGCTTAGAATTAAGAAGCCCAGTTACTCCACAGTGCCACCTGCTGGACACTTTCAAACCCGCTTTAGATAAAAAAGGGGAATAATAGTGACCTCAGTATTGAGATTTAACTTCACATGGTTACAAATATCTGCATTGCATTTTCACCTACTGCATACACAGAGGTAAAATAATGTGGTAACACTTTATTTGAAGAGGTATGCATAAGACTGACATGACACTGTCATAAACATGACATAACACTTGCCATGATCATAAAGAAGTCTTTATGAATGTTTGACAGTTGTCATGAAGTGTCATTCGGTAAATAATGACACTTTTAATGCAAAGTTGCTCTAAAATTTGCCTTGAAAGTCCATTAAAAATGCCAACTTTGCATTAAATTATCATAATTTACAAAATCATGCAAAGAAGGCACTTTTAATGGACTTTCAATGCAACTTTTAGAGCAACTTTGCATTAAAAGTGTCAGTATTTACCGAATGACACTTCATGACAACTGTCATAAACATTCATAAAGACTCCTTCATGTTGATGACAGGTGTTATGTCATGTTTATGACAGTATCATGTCAGTCTTATATATGACAGTATCATGTCATATATACTCATTATATATGAGTATATAATGCTCATTATATGAGCATTATATTACCAATAATGCTCATGAATAAGAGTTTAAGAAAGCAAGTCTATTCAATTAAATGTCTTCATTCTGAGGACACTCACATAGTGTGTAGACATTAATAATGACAAATTCTTTGTTTTCAACTTTTAAATGTACAATACACCAGTCCTGATGACATTTAGAACTGGATCCAGCTTTTTGTGGAATAGAATAGCTACTCCTCTTCCTCCTTTCATTAAACCCATAGAAAGATCCACAGGAAATTCACCAGCTCCACAGAGACAATCATTAATAGAGTTCAAACTTCCCAAATCCTGTTTCAATGAAAAAGTTTCTTGTAAACAAAGAATAACACATCTTTGCAACAGTCTATCCACAACCAGACTAAGTTAGTTTTTGGAAACACAAAATCAAGCTGAGGCAAAAGATTATAGAGATTTCTACTCACCATTGATATTAGAGTGAACATTTTTACACAGAATAGCTTTCATTGCTGTGAACAGCCTGAGTAAAAGACAGAAGGGACATTCAGAAAAATAATTCAAACTGATTATCTTATAGGACTGGACTGGGTAGGGGCCAAAGGAAACCTTCACAAAGTCTGGGCAACAGTTGATGAAGGGTGCTTCAAAAGATTATAAGAAAGTCTGTTTGAGAAGTTATTGGCTTGTCATAAGTATAAATAAATAATTTCAATAGAATAGAAAGCTTTCATTGTCAATGTACAACAAAACGCCTTGCTGCAAGTACAATGAATTCACAAGACCTACATCAAGATGCTATTTTGTCCTAACATAAGTTAAAATATGTAAAAAAGAAACAACAAAAGGTAAAAAATGATAAACATGACCAGTTACAGGTGAGGGGGCTCAGCTCACACCCCTGTGGGGGTTAGTTGGTGAGAAACTTCTTCTGGATACAGATGAGGGAAAGAAATGTGAGGCTTTGATGTTTAACCGCTCCACCCAGTTAAAGACGATAGGCATGGTGGGAGTCACTGAGGTCAGCCAAGGTTGTCTTTTTCTGATGATAGGTGCATTTGACTAACAAAGAATGAAACTATTTGTTTGACAAATTTATTCCTGAACATGCAAACCCTTTAAAATGTCCACCCAGGTTTTGGGTCATGTAGGTCTAGTTCAGGATAATCACTATGTTATTGTCTTAGATTCGACTCATTGTCCTCCTGCGGTGGTGAAAGAATAAGAAATTGCAAGATTTACTTTTAAGAGTTTATTTTTGCCCAACGTGTGACATAAAACCAACAAACTTTTATGCATTTTGCTGGATTTGTGAGTAATAGATCCACAGTTATCCATGGTTTTGGGAAAGGCAAGAAATACATATGATTTTGCAGATTAAAGTCAAAGAACTGTGGCATGAGTTGTGTGCTGACATTATTGTAGCAATTACATCGCCATGTATTTTGGCTTTATAAGTCTTCATTGAATAATTATTCTCTGATCCTGTGCATTAGCCCAGCAGAACTTTATGGTCTGCGTAGGAAAGTACTACTATTGTGTCTGTTTTAAAACCTGGCTTAAGTGTGACTGGTTAGTTATGGAGATAAACTGTTAAACCCACATCGCTCATGTCCCTATTGCATTCACCAAAGAAAGTTGTATCGCTTGTTTTATAAGTAAAATATAAGGTAAGGTCATTTTATTTATTTTATTTTCACCAATAAGCCAGTTCAAAGTGATTTACATGAATTAGAAGGAAATACAAACAAAACAACAAAACCAAAAGAAAGACAAAAGTGTAAAAGTATAAAACTACACATTGGATCCCATATTTAATAAGAATATAATTGTCTTACATGACTGTAAAGAAACAAATAAAGTTTGGGTAAAAATATACATATAAAATGACCTAAAAATACAAAATAGATGAGAAATTGATATATTTTGTACACTTGCAGAGATATTCACAGACTTGGACTTACAGATTTTTCAATTTGAACCTTTAATTCAAAGAATTTTATTTCAGTTTATTTATATAACATTAATTCACAATACATCATCTCAAGGCACTTTACCAAAAAACCCAAAAGCAAAACAGAACTGCAACAAAAAGTCCCCCAAGTCCATTCAATCCAATCATACATTTATATTTTAATTGACCCCAGTTATCAAATAATGTAGTCAAGTTCATGGGTTTCAAAAAAGTTGTTTTTCTAAGGAAACCCTGTTGATTGCATTGAGTCATTCACTTAATTGCTTATATTGTGTCACTGACTGCAACAATCCCTCAGCGACTCTAGTGGAGAGGAAAATGTCCCTTTAACAGACAGAAACCTTCAGGAGAACCTGACTCAGTGTGAACGGTCATGTGCCATGACTGGCTCAGGGTTTTAGTATTCAGAGCACACTCACAAAAAAGAAACAGAAGCACTAATTCAGGAGTACCAAGTATTTTTGGGGAAAAAACAATAAAACGTTAAAATGTAGGTCACTTGGACACATGTATGTTTTCAGTTCTATGTCATTTCACTATGTATCAGACACTTTCAAAGCTTGAAACTAGATTATTTTCAATTCTTCAGTCATACAAACTGAGTCTAAACAATAAAGAACTGACATAATTTACTTTTAGAGCCTCAAATGAAGAGCATGACGAGACCTGAGGACATCAGCAGCAGAAAGACACCAGGACCTGTTGGTACGGCTCCATTGCACAGGTTCCCTTCACAGCAAGTAGTCAGTCCATTGCACGGTAATTCGGATATTTTGCAACCCTTGGTGACTGTGTTTACAACTGCATACAAGGATAGAAAAGCAATCAGAAACATTTTAACAACATATACTGCATGATTGCGATAAATTATACACAGAGTTGCTTTAAATGTTTTCGGAGCAGTACTGAGGACTGGAGCTCCAGACTAAATGGAGAACTTACTTGGTAGTTTTACAGAGAAGCAGTTCTTGATTCCACTGTCACAAGTTTCAATGGATGTACAAGATTCCGGTTTAACATTGATGCATGTGTAGCACAACAAGCCACATGCTAAAGAGAAAAACAGAAAACAATTATTTCAGCCACAAACAGACAAAAAAAACTGACAATGTAACATTTATCATCTAAATATTTACTTCTCAGTGTCTTTAAAATGACAATTTACATGCAAGAACCAGAAACAGCATGTTAAATTATGTCGTTAATGTTATGTTAAACATTTTAGATTTTAAAAACAGTTAAAAACACAGACATTAAGTACATCATTTATTTTACTCAATATAAATTCTCACCTGCGGAGACGGTCAGAAAGAAGATTAGAGCTCCGTACAACTTCATCTTGAACTTCAGACGTCTCTCAGCCTGATCAGTCAACTGGAGCAAAGACATCCTCTTTAAATCTTTTTCTTTCTTTTTTAATTGAACATTTGCATTTTTCAGCCAAGTGTCCTCCCAACTATTGTGAATAACAAAATAAATAACCAAATACTATCTAAACAAATTGCCTAGGCAGGACAGAGGCCTCGTATTAAAATTTAATGAATAAATAAGCTGACTTTGACTCTGCAAAACATTAGGTGTGATATAGATAACAATTTTGATTTACAATTTTATTGGCTATTACAGTATCTTTTTAATTGAGGATTTTTTGTACTTTCACACCCACAAAGACAAAGTAAATGTCAGGTTGTTTCTGTAGGTGAAACCAAAGAATTTAAATACCATCCATGTCATCCTCGGTTGCCAGAAAAAGAGTTTCACAGGAAAACAGATTTTAATACTATTATTGTGAATTAATTATTTGTTGTTGGTTTATGTATTCAGCCACTGTAAAAACACAGAACACCCTTTTAAAGCGCTTAAGGGTTGTGTTTTAAAGTGTAATGAAAGTTGCATGGTTTTTATCAAGATATAATATTATTTAAATTTAACTTAATTAATAAGGCAAATACAAACATTATCAAAACACTGCACTCACCACCAGGTGGTGAGGAGAATCAGCAAGATTCTCCTTCTTCAACCAAACTGTTACACTGTTATATTGAGAATATCACTAATCAATGTGTCTGTCTTATCTGTACACAACGAACATGACTTGTCATTCCAAAGTACTGACAAGTTCATTGACTTAGACTTTTAATTTAGGAACATGAATAAAGAAACTGACTTTTCTAGTTAATCCATGTAGTTATGCTTTTTGAACAAATTGTTTTGAGAAATGCACTTACTGTTTTGCAAATGTTATGTATGACTTGGATGCAGCTGCTCCACCATGGAAACCCATTCCATGAAGCTCTCTGCGCTCTGTTCCTGAACTAATCTGAAGGCCACATGAAGTTTGGAGGTCTGTAGTGATTGACTGCAGAAAGTTGGCCACCTCTCTGCATGACGGCCCCATCAGTTTATGTGGCCTACCACTTCGTGGCTGAGTTGCTGTTGATCCCAGAGACTTCCGTTTTCTTACACAGCTTACAGTTGACTGTGGAATATTTAGGAGCAAGGAAATTTCATGACTGGATTTGTTGCACAGGTGGCATCCTATCACAGTTCCCTGCTGGAATTGCATGGTGGCCCATTCTTTCACAAATGTTTGCAAAAACAGTCTGCATGCATTTATAATTTAGGTGGGTGAGCAAATACTTTTGTTGATATAGCGCATTATAAGAACCTTTTTTGAGGCAACAAAGTAATACAGTCTGCTTAATACCTTTATTCTAAACCAAAAGCAGCATGTTCAATATTAAATAATGTTACACATTTTAAGCCAGCAACAGTGAAACATAATGCTAATAATATTTTGTAGATGAGAATCTCTGTTTTACATCATATTGNGCCTTTCAAAATTCTGGTTTTAGCTTTAGCTGTTTAATTGTCCTCTATAACAACATCACAGTGCAGCATAAGTATGCTTAAAGAGACCTAGGTTTGTATTGAAGAGTTTTGTAGGTAAACCCAAATTAGTTCTTAATCTCAGATTACCTAGGACAAATGAGCCAGTTTTGTATGTATTCAAACAAAAAGTTTGTAATGCAAAGCAGACATGAGGACAGAACCATTATTTGGAGAAAGCAATGTTTAATTTACTTGTTGAGTAAGAAATCAAAAACCTTTTAACTGTGACAAAAAAGTTATCAAAAACACTACGATTTTTCTCTCCCTTCTGCCATGTTGGGGAATCTGTAATTCAAAGGTTCCTTCTGCAGAATTATGAGCAAACCAGGGTCTAAATGCAAGCATTAAAATGTAGTTATTGACGATTAATCATCTCCCTTTTGGAAGTGCAGAGATATTTCAGCGTATTGTCTCAGTTTGTGGTTGTACTTCTGTAGCTCTGGTTCTGGCTCCATAAATGTCTAAGTTCAAGTAGTTTAAATTACAGCTGTTTTTTTTTTATTTTTTTTTTAAGTTTTTTTAAATTTCCTGCCTTTATTTCTTCTGGGTCTTCAGTTGTTCTACAAACACCCAGCTTTTGGACATGTAACTGATGAATAAACATGCATTGTGGTGAGATGTGGCATTAAATCAGATATGAAAAAACTGTAGAATTTAGAAACCATTATTGGAGAAAAAGGTTTCCTTTGCTCCTCATTCATCCTGCCTGTGCTTTGGCTGGATATTTGCAGTCACCACATCTCTGGTTTCCCCATTAAACAGCTGAGCACATTTCGAATTGAAACACAAAACCATGTTTAATATGCTCGCAGCATTTTTAACAGATGTCCTGTTGCCTAATGTGAGGTAACTTCACCAGAGGCGTTTGTACTCAAATTGGAAATCTGACAAGATACACTACATTGCTCTTGAACCAGTCTCCCATGCGAAATGCAAATAAGGCCACACAAACATCTCAAAAATAATGCAGCAATTTCACCTTAATAGATGTAAAGCAGCATCTCCTGTGACTTTGTAATAAGATTCAGTCTAAAGTGGATGTGATTTGTTTGAAATAAGAATGCACAAGCGAAGTGAAGATAAAAATGGTACTTGCCATGTGAATTAAAAAAAAACACTTTTTAAAGAGAGCAGGAGAGGGTAATAATTTTGACCTTTAACATGGCTAATCAAAGATAATAGTAGAGCAGATAATGACCACATTGGAAGAAAAGAGGTCTTGAGCAGTTCGCTGAGTGTATGTAGGTCAGACTGTACTAATGTCATGAGTAAAAACAACTACACAACCTAATCTGAGGCGTACCAAAATGGCAAAAGAATATATATATATATATATATATATATATATATATATATATATATATATATATCGTCAAATAGAGAAGTTTCAATCCGTTTTATTATATTAGATAAAGTGGTCTCTCAATTTCCCTAAGGTATTGGTGTGTGTATGCAAGGTGTTTGACCTGCTTATCCGTTTAATTTACAATAATTAAAAAAAAATCTCATATTGAAAATGACTTGTACCCTTCTCAGTCAAAGGTCAAAATTGATCCCCTTCTCCATAGATTTTCTATCAACTTCCAATCAGAAGAGACATGTTGGTAATACTGAAAGATATTTTAAGCCAGAAACATTTTTTATGCGCTAACTGTCAATGCAATTGAACGGTTCTGTTGTATTTTTGTACAGATTTATCTTCTGAACCAACAATTCAAATAATGGTTAAATGTGCAACAGTCAAAATTTCTGTCATCACTAGGCTGCTAATTATTATTGAGAACTTTACCATTACTATGAATTAAGATGACCTTCTTAAAGCTTAAAGTGCGAAAACAAGAAACTATCGTCGTGCAGCTTGACAGCTTTCTTGGAATTTGACCGCCTGAGGGTTATCCTTTCACTGCAACATCTCACACACAAAGAAGAAACTTGCTGCCAGGGTTTTTCTTCTTTTTTTTTTTTTTGTTTGGTTATTTGAATATAATTCCCTCTCGTTCGTCTGTAAGACACAGATTTCTGTTTGATAATTTGCTTCTCGAGTGGAGGCTCTTGCCTTTGACGTGAAGACCTCAGAGACGAGCAAAGCAAGCCTGGTGAGGACTCCCGCAAGCCTTGATTTCCGCAGACATCAGCGCAAAATACGTCCTAGGAATGCTTAAAAAAAAAAAAAAGTAGAAGTGATAAAATAAAACATCCTTGAAAAGTTTAAAGTAACCTTGAGCGGTACCAGATCTTTTTAAGGTTTCTAAAACTCGAGTTGAGGTCTCATTGTGTTCTTAAATCTTCTTGCAAGCAACTGCTGGCTTAGCAAAGAAAAACTACCGATAGTGGTGCATCGTTAGATACACAGTATAATAAATAAACTGTGGAAATGAAGGTCTTGCAGGTTAGCCCATAATGTTCTCCCACTCAATATTTCAGCGGAGAAGTATGAGCGTGCAAGCGTATTTGTTCCATTATTCAGCAGCACAAAGTCCTGATGAGAAACCCTTGAATGGAGACGATCCTTCATTGTTCAAGAAATCAGTAGTTTTCCTATCAAAAAGGTGAGTTTTTTCTTTAAAAATATAATGTAACTTAGTTGAAACGAGGTACAAGAAATTCTAAAGACAGAATAGAGTCTGAATAACCCAAGTGAACATCTGCTGCTTGTTGATCGAACTGATCTGCAGTCCTGTCCAGCATCTCGTACAGATCTGAGAAACTCCATTGCTCGCTTTCCCCCACTCCCCCCCCTTTCTTGTCATTGCTTCACATAACAGACGAATAAATACAGCATCCTTTCACCTTCCTCTGCTGTAGAGCGGCTCAGCAGGACCCATCAATGTCAAGTGGTGCTGGGTTAAGGGAACCTTTCGCTGTGGCACTTCTCCGTTTTTGAAGTTCCGCTGCAGGTTTTTCTTTTTTCCCCCTTACAGTCATACGAAAGCATTGGAAACCTTTAGGCTGCAACAAAGCCATTTGTTTTGTGTGTACATATATATATATATATACACACACACACACAGTAGGATGGCCTAGATGTCACTGAAGGGCCTAGTACGCAGTGTCTTGACGTGGGTAGACGGACAACGGGTCACTTACTCGGATGACCTGACCTGCTGATGTTTACTCCAGTCTTCCACCCACTCAAAGACTCCCTGAAAGACGACAAAAGGTGGGCAGGAGCATAAAATCTGCTGCCTTGAAATCATGCACAAGGCGGGCAGACAGGCGCCACACCAAACTTTTACCGCAGGTCACCGTAGAACAATGAGTGGGTTAGTGTGGGAGTTCGATTTTGACAATAAAAACGACCTGAACCCGAGCGTATCGGCATTACTTACAGCTTTCCACCATGGTCGAAGCCAGCGTACGTCTCGCTGATGCTTTTAAATAATACAACCGAGGTAAATAATGCTTCGGTTGACTTGCTGGATGACTGGTTTCAAACCTCTGGCAACCCTTGAAATTCGCTGTCCACCAATTTTTAGTTTGTTCCACTTTATTACTCG